AAGGGGCCTGTGTTGTCATTGAAATTCAAAAAAAACGCATTATATTCACATTTGTGGAATGGCAGCAGAGAACAAGGGGTATATGATGAATAAAGTCTGTGGCCCAAAAAATACAACCGCAATTCAGCGTATTTTGCAGCAGAGAGTCCCTCTGTCTGGTCAGGGCCCCCGGGGGTGTCCAGGGGTGGTCTGACGCGGGAAACGCAGATTAAATTTTTTATGTTTTTAAAAAATAAAAATTTTAATAAACTAACAATAAAACAAAAGCAGTGCAAACTAAAACATAACAAAATTGAAAACAAAAAAAAACCAACCACCCACAGATAACAGTACATACAATGCAAGCGCTCGGGCGGGCCGGGTCAAATATCAATCGGGGAGGTAGGTACAGGGGGAGCAAGCGGGAATGGTCGGGGTCCAAAAACCAGGTTAGAGGAAAAAGGGCAGGTGGTCAGGGGTCAGGCAGAGGGAATGGGCAGACAAGCAGGATAGAGCGGGGCAGCAGAGAATCAGACAGGAACAAAGGGAGCCAGGGAACAGTATACAGGGGACCAGGAGAAACTCAAACCAAGGCCGAGTCTGCAGGTTCTGAATGTCCCTTAAATACAACGTTTAATTATAGTTCAGGTGTTTGACTGGCTGAAAAGGTTGAATCTTCTGATTGCTGGGGAGCACCCGATGGCCAGCCCTGGTATCTGCAGCTCATAAGTGGCAGGCTGAGTCCAATATTGCGGCCAGTCCATTCCTGACAGTACCCCCCCCTCAAGGAGCGCAATCAGGACGCACCAAAACAGTCCTAGCTGGGCAAAATGTTTCCACCGCCCGGGTCTGGTAACTGGCGGGATATCAAAGACTGGCAACATCCGGGCAGGACTCCGTGGCAGCGGCACACCGGGCAGAGGCACATCGGGCAGGACTCCGGGCAGAGGCACATCGGGCTGGACATCCGGGCAGAGGCACATCGGGCTAGGACTCCGGCAGAGGCACATCGGGCTGGACTCCGGGCAGAGGCCAACATCGGGCTGGACTCCGGGCAGAGGCACACATCGGGCTGGACTCCGGCAGAGGCACACCGGGCAGAGGCACACCGGGTCTGGACTCCGGGGCAGAGGCACATCGGGCAGGACTCCGGGCAGAGGCACATCGGGCAGGGACTTCCGCGGCAGAGGCACATCGCGGCAGGGACTCCGGGCAGAGGCACATCGGGCATGGACTCCGGGCAGAGGCACATCGGGCAGAGGCACACCGGGCAGAGGCACATCGGGCTGGACTCCGGGCAGAGGCACATCGGGCTGGACTCCGCGGCAGAGGCACATCGGGCCGGACTCTGGGCAGAGGCACATCGGGCCGGACTCTGGGCAGAGGCACATCGGTATAATTACCAGGCAAAGCAGCAGGCAGCGGGCCACCAGGCGGAGCAGCAGGGCACCGGGCCCCGGGCGGCAGCAGCAGGCAGCGGGGCCCGGGCAGAGCAGCAGCAGGCACCGGGCCCCGGGGCGGGGCAACAGGCATCGGGCCCCCGGGCGGGCGGCGACCGGCCGGCTCGGGCCCCAGGCGGAGCAGCGGGCGCCGGGCCCCCAGGAGGGGCGACAGGCGTCGGGCCCCCAGGCGGGGCGACAGGCGTCGGGCCCCCAGGTGGGGTGACAGGCGTCGGGCCCCCAGGCGGGGCGACAGGCGTCGGGCCCCCAGGCGGAGCGGCGGGCGCCGGGCCCCAGGAGGGGCGACAGGGCATCGGGCCCCCAGGCGGGGCGACAGGCATCGGGCCCCCAGGCGGGGCGCGACAGGCATCGGGCCCCCAGGCGGAGCGACAGGTCTCGGGCCCTCAGGTTGGAGCGGCGGGGGCGCCGGACCCCCAGATGGAGCGACAGGTCTCGGGCCCTCAGGCGGAGCGGCGGGCGCCGGAACCCCCAGGTGGAGCGACAGGTCTCGGGCCCTCAGGCGGAGCGACAGGTTCTCGGGCCCTCAGGCGGAGCGGCGGGCGCCGGGCCCCCAGGCGGAGCGACAGGTCTCGGGCCCTCTGGCGGAGCAGCGGGCGCCGGACCCCGGGTGGAGCGACAGGTCTCGGGCCCTCAGGCGGAGCGACAGGTCTCAGGCCCCAGGCGGGGCGGCGAGCGCCGGACCCCCAGGCGGAGCGGCAGGCGCCGGACCCCAGGCGGAGCGACAGGTCTCGGGCCCCCAGGCGAAGCGGCGGGCACCGAGTCACCAGGCACGACAGTGGGCTCCGAGTCAACTGGCATGACTGCTGGCACTGGGTCAGACATTGGATCGTCTGGCTGGACAGCGGGCATCGGGTCACCAGGCATCAGGTCATTTGGCTCGACAGCGGGCACCGCGTCATCTGGCAAGGCAGTGGGCTCCGAGTCAACTGGTATGACCGTGGGCACTGGGTCAGACATTGGATCGTCTGACTGGACAGCGGGCATCGGGTCACCAGGCATCAAGTCATTTGGCTCGACAGCGAGCACCGCGTCATCTGGCAAGGGAGTGGGCTCCGAGTCAACTGGCATGACCGCGGGCACTGGGGCAGACATTGAATCGTCTGGCTGGACAGCGGGCATCGGGTCACCAGGCATCAGGTCATTTGGCTCGACAGCGGGCACCGCGTCATCTGGCACGACAGTGGGCACCGGGTCATCAGGTACCGGATTGTCTGGCTCGACAGCGGGCATCGGGTCACCAGGTATGACAGCGGGCACTGGGTCACCAGGCATCAGGTCATTTGGCTTGCCAGCGGGCACCGCGTCATCTGGCAAGGCAGTGGGCACCGGGTCACCAGGCATTGGATCGTCTGGCTCGACAGCGGGCATCGGGGTCACCAGGTATGACAGCGGGCACTGGGTCACCAGGCATCAGGTCATTTGGCTTGCCAGCGGGCACCGCGTCATCTGGCAAGGCAGTGGGCACCGGGTCACCAGGCATTGGATCGTCTGGCTCGACAGCGGGCATCGGGTCACCAGGTATGACAGCGGGCACTGGGTCACCAGGCATCAGGTCATTTGGCTCGCCAGCGGGCACCGCGTCATCTGGCAAGGCAGTGGGCACCGAGTCACCAGGTACGACAGCGGGCTCCGAGTCAATTGGCACGACAGCGGGCACCGGATCAGGTACCGGATCATCTGGATCAACAGCGGGCATCGAGTCAACTGGCCTAATAGGATCGTCAGGCTGGATCAGTTCATCATGCTGGGTAGAGGCATCAGGCTGAATGCCGGCGTCCGGCTGAGTAGAGGCTTCAGGCCGAGTAGAGGCATCAGGCCGAGTAGAGGCTTCAGGCCGAGTAGAGGCTTCAGGCCGAGTAGAGGCTTCAGGCTGAAGAGAGGCATCAGGCTGCGTACAGGCATCAGGCCGAGTAGAGACATCAGGCTGCGTACAGGCATCAGGCTGCGTACAGGCATCAGGCTGCGTACAGGCATCAGGCTGAGTAGAGGATTCAGGCTGAGTAGAGGATTCAGGCTGAGTAGAGGATTCAGGCTGAGTAGAGGCTTCAGGCTGAGTAGAGGCTTCAGGCTGAGTAGAGGCTTCAGGCTGAACCACGGAAGGCAGGTTCACCGGTTTGGATACTGGCAGGATGGTATTGGTTGGAAAGAATTTTCGCTTTTTTCTGGTTTTAACTACTGGAGCACTGCAAGTAAACGCAGGTCTGCAAACGAATGGAGCAGCTGGAGACAGAGAAGAACTGGAGGATGGAACAGGAGAGGGAGCAGTTGCTACAGAGGGCTTTTTTACAGGGTTAAAGGCAGGATAGGTGCAGCGAGTGGGAACAGGGTACTGACATGCGGTAGATAGCAGGGCAGGAGGAGCTGTTGGGAATGCAGGAATAGAGTTTTGAGGAAATAGATTAGAAGCGGACTGGGTTTTTGTAAGCTGACTGAGGCTGGGGTGCAACAAGTCTGTCCATGTCTGCAGTATGGGTTGAACAAAGCTGAGCTTACACAAAGCCTGTCTGACCAAAGACTGCACTGCGTTTATACAATCTCTTAGTGTCTGTGGTGAACATGTGGAATAACGCTCCAGAAAGTAACCCACATCATCCTCTAATAACCACACCAGGGACTCTACCTGGTCTGCACTAAATGGTGGCAAAAATTCATCCCTGCATTCGAGGGTACCAGATGAAACCAACTCAGCACAAACCTCAATCAAAGGCTGCACCTCAGAGAACTCTGTGCCCTGATCTACTAGAACATGAGCGAGCCGTATACATTCTAGCAGTTCATCCCGGGGATACTCCTTCAGAGTTTGATAAGCATACTCCCTGTCATCAAACACTAGCAGATATAAATACGCAACCTCATCCAGATCCATCCTTCCCATCAACAAGCCAAGATGGCTTCCCTGTGCAGCCACTTCTGGTCAGGATTGGCCTTGGTGTAATGTCAGGGCTCCCGGGTGTGACCAGAGGTGTGTGACTGACGCAGGGAAACGCAGACTTCAGATATGTTATAAACAATGTAATTTAATAACACTAACAATACAAACATAAATGCAGTGCAATACTAAAACATAACACAGTGCAAACAAACCAAACCAACCACCCACAGATAACAGTACATACAATGCAAGCGTCGTCAGGCAGGCCGGGTCAATATCAATCGGGCAGGTAGGTACAGGGGGAGCAAGCGGAGAATGGTCAGGGTCACAAGCCAGGTTCAGCAGGAAGCGGGCAGCGTGGTACAGAGGGTCAGGCAGAGGAGAATGGTCAGACAAGCCAGGGATCAGGAGCAGGAGAATGGTCAGACAACAGGATACAGGGACCAGGAGAAACACAACACCAAGGCCGAGTCTGCAGGTCTGAATGTCCCTTAAATACACCAGTATAATTAGTTCCAGGTGTTTGACTGGCTGCAAGGTTGAATCTCTGATTGCTGGGAGCACCCGCTGGCCAGCCCTGGTACTGCAGCTCATAAGGCAGCTGAGTCCCACTATTGCTGGCCAGTCCATTCCTGACAGTCTGAATACAATGTCTCAATGAGAGGGTTTGTGCATCCACCTCTCTTGTGTGGCTGCAGGAGTCTGTTAGTTATTTTTTAATTCAGCCCACTAGCTGAACAAGAAAATAATCCTATGCATGTGTGCTTTTTGCATGTTCGTTTCATGTCAAAAAGGAATAGGTTACTAAAGTTAAGAAAATTCTTGAAAAACAGAATACAACTTCCCTCGACGATTTAATGTATTGTATTGTAATGTATTCTTTTGGTTCTGAGCATGCATAGGCTTGGTCACTTGATTTTTTTCATACAAATACTAATAACACGAAAATCGTTCATTCTGTTATCTTACAACAAAAAATGTTGTGCTTATTTTGTGATATTTTCACATGAACTGCCGTGATCAGCTCTCGAAAGCTGTGTACTAATGATCAGATGTATTGGATATATACTCCTGCTCTCCGCACTCTGTAGTTTACCCACTCTTGACTCTTGAACATTGTATATAAGATATTCCTTACCCCGCTCTGTACATTATCCACTCCTGATTCCTGTACTCTGTACATTATTTTTGCTCCTGACTCTTGCACTTTATAAATTACTCACTTCTGACCTTTGTACTCTATACATAGGTATAATGATCGGGTGTGGTTATCACGTGTGGGTAAGATGATTGGTCATCATAACCGATGGGGGGGGGCAGTTTGGCATGTTCACCCTGGGAGCTGTATGAACTTGTCCTGGCACTGCACTCATCATTCAACAAGTAGGAAAAACTGCATAAATTAGGAAGTTCATGCACATTAATCCTTGCAAGGTAAATACCTAGCCAGAAGGGGATTGTGTTTGTTCCAGCAGAAGAGGAGTTACTCTGTAACGGTGCTTCAGAAAATGTTCAAAGTATGGGATAATTTTATAACCCAGCTGAATTTAACCAGATTACTCCTAGGGCTTCATGATGTTGCTTGTTTAGATACAGAATGTTCTCTAACAAACTCTAGGGCCTGGAGTTGCACAGATATGAATACTGATATGCCTATTGATGCGCCGTGTTGGTAAACATAGTACAAATGCATTTTTCCATGTATTTAGGCATGTCGACGGCAAGCTTAAAATAAATGGGCTGTCTTAAACCAACACATTCTAACATACAAAAACACATACGTTAACGCACACAAAAATGTTAATAGGACATTACTGGTAACTTTGTTATGCACACATTTCCAGTGCAAAGCAGGAAAACTTTTCCTTCAGAATGGCCTGATTCTTCACAGCATGGATTTAGCAAGGTGGTAGAAATGCTTCTTAAGGATTTTGGTCCATGCTGAGTTTATACCAACATTATACTACCACCAGTCTGAACCTATGAGCAAAGCCAGAAGGGGTCCATAGAATCCGGCTGTGTACACCAGCCTCTGACCATACCATCTGCAGTAGCAAATGAGTATAGTTTTGGTGATCTCATGCCTGCTGTAGCCTCCTTCTCCTGACAGTAGTAGGATCCACGAAAATATTTCTTCTGTAGCCCATCCTCTTCAAGAACTGATTTGTTTTACTCCCAGAAGTGCCTTCCACATGCCATTGCTGTAAAGAGTGGTGTTTTTTTCTTTACACTATTCTCTTTAAACCCTAAAAATTGAAGTGTGTGGATATTACCGGAGGTTAGTCAGATTTGAAATGCTACAACCATCAGATCTGGCACTCACATTAACAGTCAAAGTTCTTTAGTTTACTCATCTTCCTTGTTCTAACATTTGGCCAAATAACTGAACCTGTAGATACTTTCTGAATGTTTTGGGTACTGCAATAAAGTCACACAATTCATTATTTAGGAGAAAGGTGAATACTTTCATACGTAGAAATACTGGTTATTTTTCTTAACTCCTGGCAGATGTAGGGAGCAGCGGAAGAACCAAGGAAAGGTACGGTAAGTATTTTCTGTTGGTGGGGCTGTTATTAAAGTGAATGTGTTAATTTGTCCTACATGGTCAGAGCATGGGTTGATTTTAAGAGCTGGGGAAAGTGGTTGAAAGGATAATTATTAAAGTGGACTTGAACTCAAAAAGTGATTTGCTATCTTTTATATGTAACATTTATTAAAGTTTAATGCACTTAAGCAGTACCCGGAAAGATTTACCTTTTATTTCAAATGCCTCCTAAAAAATACTGTGCCTAGACACTCTTGTGCCTTGAGTCCCATAGCTGTATACCTGCAGTGTCAGATCATCCAAGGCATTGTGCTTCCGGTCCCATGAGATTTGGAGTGGGATTTGGTAATGTAAATACTGTGTGTCAGGAATGGACTCGCCAATGGTGGTGGGACTCACCTGCCTTGTGGGCTGCAGTACCAAGGCTGGCCAGCGGGTGCTCTCAGCAGCCAGAATCTCACTCCGGCAATCAGTCCATCACCTGAGGCTGATTGCAGGAGGTGTATTTAAGCAGGACCAGGCTTGTGATCAGTACCTTGGTGTATGTTTCCCATGAGCCCCTGTACCGGCATCCTGTCTGCTTCCTGCCTGATCCTGCTTTGATCCTGACTCTGAACCAACTCCGCCTGTCCTGACCTCGGCTATTCCTGACCACTCTTCCGCTCGCTCCTGGTACCCTGTTTGCCCCTTAGCTACCGACCCGGCCTGCACGACTACGTTGTGCTCCAGATATATATACATATATATATATCAGTTTAGGTTTGGGTTTGTTTCACCTTGTTGTATGTATTTGTGTTAGTTTTGGGTTTGGTTTGTTGCACTGCGTTTATGTTTGTGTTGTCCTTAAATAAATTATCTTGTTTACATGCTATACCTGAAGTCTGTGTTTCCCTGTGTCAGTCCACACACCTCTGGTCATTCCCGGAGCCCTGACACTGTGCTTCTCACTGTTCCCAGTGCTGGAGAGAAAGCTGTGTCAGACAAGCATCTCTCTACTCCTGCTTCCTTATTCTGTGGATCTGTGTATCTTTCACCTCTCTAGCTGCTTTTGATCACTACCCCACCAGTCATCAGATCACCAGTCATTAGCAGGGCAGCTCTGACATAAGGAAGCAAAGCTCTGCCTCTGCCTCTGCCAAGATGGCCACCTTCACACAGAAACTGGGGACAAAATCAGCTGCAGGGAAGATATAGACAGTGCTGGAGACTAATCATTTGTCCTCTTGCCTTTTTAGGTATAGTTTCTACAGTTTATACAGTTAAGTCTCCTTTAATGACTCACTTTGAGAGGTAATTTAAGTGTTAGGGGCAGGTTAAAGTGGCCCATTTAGTAACATATCTGCATGAATACATTTCTGACATGTCGCAATATACATTACATTACATACAGTTGCCCAACCCCTGCTGTAGAGTCATCTTTGTGAGCGTATACAAACTGATGAATGACAAGCACATCTCTCCCTGCCTCCTCCCCCATTCATTGAGATCCTAATTACAAGGGGTGGAATTAAAGCGATGATTGATGGAGGTGTCGCCTCCCTGTTAGGGGTATGTATAGAACATGTATCATTGGATGGCTAGAGACAATTCCCCATCAATTGTGACCAACTTCATCTGTTCATCTTTAATGGGGCCTGTATATTCTGTGCTAACTTTTTTTTACTGTTGATATATTTGAATATTTTTTTTTATTAATTTCTTCAGCAATTTTGTTGTAACCTACTTCAACTGGCCTGATTGTGATTTTCCATTTCTTATTGCGTTCTTTGTAGTTTTGGAATTCTGATGGTGACCTCTTGGTCTTATATTTTTAAAAGCTTGTTTTTTCTTGTTTGTATGTTTTGTCTTGAGAATTTAGTCAGGTTTAACATGTGTTCTTTATAGTTGCTGCCCAGTGGAGTGCACTGGCAAATGCTTTTCTTTAATAAGACCCAAAACACTACCACTTTTCTTAAGTGTTCTTTGTTGTGAGAATTTGGTCCCATTTAGTATCATACAGCAAGGAGCACAACTTATTAAAGTTGTCTCTTTTGACATATTTTTTCTATAATTTAAAGCAAACGTAATTACTCTGTGATAACTGTTACCTACATTTTCCTTAACTTCCACATGTGCAGTCAGTTCTGTTTTTGTTTGGAATTAGTATATCCAATAATGAATTCTACCATTTGACCCATGAAATTGTCCTGAAATAAATTCAACCCTTGTGACCCCTGTTCACTTCTTGGTATTCCCCTTACTGCTCCCCTTCTCCCCAAATCCTAGTTTAAAAGTTTCTTCAGCCATCTTCATTTATGTGTTTCAGGGGGTGATAAATTGTTAAAAGCTGACGGGGGGGGGGGGAGGATGTTAAGTGTTTTTTGCATATTAATGCATTTCTATGCAGTACGATGCATAATCTATGCTTGTTTTATGCATTTTTCATGCACTTTGTATGTATTTTTCACCTTGTCATTTTCTATTCTGTCATTTTCCAAGTCGTGATATTTGAAAGGCCATGTAAAAGGTATGTACATACATTTCCAAGCATTTTGTTAGTACAGTTGTATGTAGGCTGAAAATGTTTGTAAACTACAACATGCAGCATAACATTTTCTCATAACATGCTTCTTGGTGAGGACAGGGCTAATTTGATGTGACTAGCAAAAGTACCTGTTCCAGAACGCAACAGGTTGTGGATTTAGCAAACAATGCTAAAAAGTGCTTGGGGGGAATATGTGCTGGAAATCAATGTGAATGGAATGACAGCAGGCATATTTGTGCAGAAAATGAGTGCAGAGGGCATGACAAACAGTAATGTATGCAGGAGAGAAATACAGAAGATATGAATGACAGTGAGCAGTATGTGCAGGAAAGGAGTGCAGAAGGCATGATAATAGGCAGTATGGGCAGGGCAGTAGTGTGCAGGTTGTGATAGCAGGCTGTATGTGCCGGAAAGAAGTGTGGAGGGTATGACAGAGGGCAGTATGTACAGGAGAGAGGTATGGAGGGTATGACGGCGGGCAGTATGTATAGGAGAGAAGTGTGGAGGGTATGACGGCGGGCAATATGTGCAGTAGAGAAGTATGGAGGGTATGACGGCAGGCAGTATGTATAGCAGAGAAGTGTGGAGGGTATGACGGCGGGCAGTATGTATAGGAGAGAAGTGTGGACAGTATGACTGCGGGCAGTATGTGCAGGAGGAAAGTGTGCAGGGTATGACGGCTGCAGCATGTATAGGAGAGAAGTGTGGACAGTATGACGGCGGGCAGTATGTGCAGGAGAGAAGTGTGGACTGTATGACGGCGACAGTATGTGCAGGAGAGAAGTGTGGAGGGTATGACAGCGGGCAATATATGTAGGAGAGAAGTGTGGAGGGAATGATGGCAGGCAGTAGGTGCAGGAGAGACGTGTGGAGAGTTTGACAGAGGGCAGTATGTGCAGGAGAGAAGAGTGGAGAGTATGACAGGGGACAGTATGTGAAGGAGGGAAGTGTGGAGAGTATTATGGGGATGTATGTGCAAAAGAAGAGTGTGGAGGATATGATGGCAGGTGCTATTTGCAAGAGAGAGGGTATGACAGCAGGCAGTATGTTCAGGAGATGAGCATGAAGGGTATGACTATGGTCTGTATTTGCAGAAGAGGAGTATGGAGGGTTTAATGAAGGAAATACTGTATCGTATCTGCAGGAGAGGGTTGGGGGAATATGACAACCATAAGAACAGTTCATCTTTTGAATCACAAATGGTGGTAACTGATCTATCCATAATGTAAAACAAAATCCTTAAAGTATAAGCTCGTTGCTTTACAAAAAATGAGAGGGGCTGGAAAGTGCGCTTCTTAGATCATCAGCTCATGTTCCGTCCCACCTATTTGTATTTTTTCTGTGTTGCATTGAACTGCATTAGTTACTATTGTATGCTGACAGTTAGTGGGGGTTTAGGACTACTACCACTTAATTACTTTTGTAATTTGGAATCTCCCTCTGCCCTCCCCACCTCCTCCTATGTAGTACTAGGTAGTTCAGTCTTAGCTAGACCCTCCCTGTTTCTTCCATGTTTCCTAAGTCAGTATTAATTCTGTGCAGAGAAAAGGCTTAGGAACGGTCCTCTTCAGGGATGGACTGACAACTCATGGGGCCCTCGGGCAATAGGGGATCATGGGGCCCCTGTGTCCTCACCCACACTCAAACCACACACAAAAAAGCCTATGAAAGGTACCAGGGACATCTCATGGGGCCCCCCTACTGACCCTGGGCCATCGGGCAGTGCCCGTGTTCCCCAATGGACAGTCCACCCCTGGTCTTCTTACACTTCCAAAGACTGGAACTGCAATTATCTGAAGTAAAATTGGGTTGGATTCAACTTCTGTGTTTTATTGAAGAGTTAAGCTACCTGTGAATGGTAACAAGTCAGTAAGTGACCGGGTCTAAGGAGACAATAGGTAATATTTTCTAGCCAGGCAGAGCATACTTTCAGGGCCCAAACCTCCTTCTTCAGGCATGTGACCCCTCCGCCCCACAGGCAACAGGCTTGGGAAGTCAGAGAAAACCTACACACATCCTCCCCAGGCATAGCAAGGGAGCTTCCAGAAGGTTCCCCAAAATATTTATACCTTGCCCCAGTATGCACCACTGGTAATAAACCTCCTAGTGGTTGGCCAAGGAGATATAAATATTTCTAACATAGGTTTTTGAATCATGTTTCAATTTTGCCACAGACACCCCCCAACAGCAGGCAGAAGCTTAACCTGAACTTGGAGGAAAACCTACAGAAAGCAGAACCTAGGATTCTAGCACCTAGCAATCAGGCCTAGGATGGCTGTAGCTCAACAGCACTAACATTAGAATAGGGACACTCTTGCTTAGAGTAGGGTCCCTACACAACTTCAAAGTTTAAAAAAAACCCTTAAGGCCCCATTCACACTTCGCGATTTGCAATCACAGGCTAAACCATGTGATGTGTGTTTGGGTGCCATTATCCTTCAATGGCATCCCAAACGTGATGCGATTCTGCTGTGATTGCCACGTGACAGTATTGTGTGGCAATTGGAGCAAACCACACCTTTAAAAACAACGTGAAGCTTGTTGCCCGGAAAGGAGCAGGTGCTTCTTTTCGGGAGACAAATATGTATAGTACAGCCCATTCAAGAGAATGGCCTGGCCCTATGGAACACACAGATTCGCGTAACAATCACGCTTTGCACATGGCCCCTAAGGAAAAAAGGTATTAAACGTATTTACTATACCTCTTTTTCAGCCTGCCCCATCTAAGTGATGGGGTGACATCATCATATTGTTTGAATGGTGGTTACGTCACCCCCTGCAGTACAAAAGTAGGGGTAAGGTAGGTATATTTATTAGCTTTGCCATTGGTGCCCAGCGGTGTAGTCCGCAGGCTTCTACTGGCATTCCCTACATGTTTTATTTTTTAACTTTAAACCTCCTCCTTGTTGGGGTGAAGGGGCCCTAATAATTAAGCATTTATTAATACAGATCTGAATTATGTTTGTATTTTATACCTGCCTAGAGTTCAGATCTCACAGTGTGACAGCAGCCTTAGATCTGCCAAGAATCTGGCCTTTTTGAACTCAGACAGCTGTTAATATGGGTTTCTTCCCTGTTTTTAATAATCCACCCACTTCTGGAAAATGAAACAAACTTTTTAAAAATGATCAGAACACTTTTAATGTGAAGAAAATGTAAATTACATTATAACTTAAATGCTTTGAGCATTACTTCAAAATGTGATAAAAAATGAAGTAATAAAATGGATTAGACAAATGTTTGAAATTCAAGAATGCAGTATATGTATATTTCTATCATTGTATTTAGAGGTACCTGTGCTGACTCAGTGTAGTATGGGTCATCAAGCTAATAAGAGAGTTGTGACAGTGTAGC